GATCAAAAGAGCAGAAAAAAGCTCAAATTAATAACTTTTCTCGTCTTTTTTGGGGGTTTACCTTTGTATTTTTCTCCATCGTCGTCCTCACTTTGTCAAATCCGCAGAGCTATGTGGAGATGGGTGTGTGTGTGTGTGTGTGTGTATGTGTGTGTGTGTGTGTGTGTGTGTGTGTGTGTGTGTGTGTGTTTTCCTGCCTCTCTCTTCTCACAGGGTGTAACCAGGAACGGACCGGAGCTATAAATATCCTCCTGGACTTTGACTCAATTGGGCCAACAACAAAAATTTATCAACACCTGGCACAGGTGTTACACTACTTTAATCATGACTCTACAACACACCATTCAAATTAAGCGACACATGTTTGAGCTTAAACACTCGCTGTACTGTGAGGGACATTGTCTTTTTCTGAGGGTTGTAAGAAAAAAAAGAAGACTGTTTCTGCTGTAAGATTAAGCCGGCGTGGTCTAAGCTCAGACAAATTGATGGAATGGACTTCAAAAATATTTTTATGTTTCATTTTACAATAATAGGGGGAGTATTATGCAAAATCAAAAACATACCTGGAGTTGTTGCCTTTATTCTTTAATGCATATTTGAGAAATCCTTTATTCCCCTGATCCATGTTAAGTTTGGATTGGACAACACACCCAGGAGTGTACACCAGCTGAGCAGAACAGTAGAAAGATGGCGAGTGGAGCAGGACGTTAGCACATCTTTTCAAATGCTAACATGACTTTTATTTTTGAAACTCTGGATAAAGTTTTGGAAGACGTGAAGCTGTTTGGTGTATTTTTTATTTTTTTATTACCATACTATTTGCAGAAATCTGAACATTGTTACTATGAAAACATATTTTAAAGCACACTGGAAATGGCAGAAAACTACTGTGTGTCGCCTTTGTTAAAAGAAGCCTTGAACCTTTTCCAAGTTTTCAGTATGGTTACGGTTATACAATAGCCACACATTACGCAAATGGAGGTTGCTTTTGGAAAAGCATTAAGCTTTTCAGTTTTACAAAAACACATCTCGTTAATATAAAGCTCAGTCTCTTCCATTATGAGGTGGAACATTACCTGCTGCCAAAGTTCAATAGCCTATGGCATAAACTGAGTTTGTTAACGTGTTTGATTAAGGCTGGTCTGGATAAAACAAAAAGGAAAAGGAGCAATTAAAGGGTGCAACTTGGCCGTTAACAGATTTTGCAAAAGTTATGCTGTTTAAATGCACATTTAAAATGAAACTGCATCAGTAGCCTACCTTATTGAATGCATTTATGGTAGGCTTAAATTCATCCCTACCTAGAATAGGAATGAATTTCAGGTGTGTACTTGGTGAATACGCCTGTCAACAACAGGTATCCAGGTGTAAGCAGCGCCTTGGTTCATAATGTTTCTCAATTTCATGCCTTACATGTTTTGTTTCCCTTCTGCCAATCAAACACAACAACAAAGGAGAGTGAATACTGACACCCTTGTCGATTTCATCACCCAAGGCTAAGGGCAGATTCTACATTTTGAGGTGAGTTTAAAAACTAATATTGGCCAGAAAATGATAAATTACTTAAGTGTTTTTTTTGTTCACCCAATATTTCTGCATTATTTTGTATCCATTTACAGGCGGCCATCGCAGGACATGTCCCGTCTCACTGGGCAGCGTCAAAGGACCGGGGTCGACATCTTCATTGAAGACGATGAGCAGCTGGAGTCCTGACACAGCTGGTTGACGTTCAGACGTTATGGGGAAACTTGCTATGGATGTCCTGCTGCCAGAAGTAAATCATAACACCTTTTTCTGACATGTTTTGTATCGTTACTATCGTCTGAATCATTGTTAGTCTACAACCATGGTTCTTTGTTTGGAGTATAGTGTCCAAATGAAGAATGTCCTTTTGATCTCATGACCCATGCAACAGTCTCACTGCTGTCCATATAATATCACTCGAAAGAGCCACAGAAATATATAAATCTGGAGCGCAATTGTATATATGTTTTTTCCCCTCGACATCCTACTAGTTTTGTGTGACTGATAGGACATGCCGATCTATGGAGAAACTCGTTACTGTGTTGTGTGTCGGAGCAGCAGCAATTCTTGATCTCCAGTTTTATTTTCCGCATGCTCCTGTGTTGCCCAAAGGTCAGCTATTAAGAATTTATCCTCAGGATTTTTTTTGTTTAGTTTACCGGATCAAGCCACTCCATTTTATTGTTCCACCTATTTTTTTTTTTTGGGTTGGGGCAGCAATCAATCATCAAACATCATAAAATGGAATTTCTATTTAACGTAGATTATTACGACGCCATGGGGAAATATTGACTTCTTTGCAGTTTGTTGTGAGGCGTGCCACTGTGAAAAAGATCCGTCATAGATCAAACACTGTGACTCACTTTTTATAAGGCACAATATAGCCAAAACTGAAAAGGGATTTAAGTGGCTTTCAATTTGGCATGGTTGTTGATGGCCTTGTTGACAACAAGCGGCCTGGTTCAGGGTTACAGAAAAGCAGAAGTAGCTCAAATAACCACTGATTACTAACAAGATAAGCAGAATACCATCTCGTGATCAGTAGCAGGGAGACGTAAGCAAATATATGACTGCATCTGTAAGCCATTGCTAAGCTCCCTAGCAACCAAAACACACAGTAGTAAGGTTTTTTTTTTATTTCTCTTTCCATTTCTTTTATTACCAGGTGTTTTATGTAATCATCTCTCTCTGGTGTCATTGTGTGCACAACAGCTGCACTTGTCATCTGCAAGGTTGGATAATACACCAATATGTTTCCTTATTGTGGAAGGAAACTTGATTTTCTGTATAGATAAATATACTTGTAATTGAAACTATCAAATCTTTATAAAATTGAAAGAGCCATTTGTGTTTCAGGGGTGTAGTTTTCTAATGGTAAAAGAACTGCCCTCCTGGTGTCTTAGCGCGTTGCGCAAGAGGAGTGCAGGAGATGACATGGGGGCGGAGGAATGTCCTGTCAGACCATCAGTTCCCACCCACACAGACCACACACACAAAAAAACCTCATAACAGCACCCGGGGGGTCAGTGCAACCCCATTTCTTAAGACTGTGAGAAGGTTAATCTAGTCTATTAACTTTATTGTAAATAAGTGAACTGTGCTGTCAATTGATGAAAGGCTAGTTACTGAAATTCAAGAAACTTTTCTGGCCCAATAATAACATAGTGTACATGTACAACATTTTGAGCTGAAGATTAGGAATTCACACATTTTCTGACCTAAATTCATACCAATTTTTTCAGTCACAATGACATTTGGCCTCATTGCTCTAGCATTGACAATGATCCCAGGCAAACATCAAAACTGGTGTTGGAACAGATGGAGCAGAACCATATTTGAAAAGGCCTTCCAAAAAACTAAACCCCATAAAATGTGTAAAATATGCATCTAACCCCAATCTGTACCTGGAGATCAATGACTTGTATCAAGAACTGCCAGCTATCCAGCCAGAATAATACCAATAGACTCTTGATGGTAACAAAAACAGACTGTCAATTTAGAAGTTGCTTAGTGACATTTGACCAAATATTAGTCTGCATTTATGTATATATTTGCATATAATTTTAACAATGAACAAATTCCATCCACCTATCTAAACAGGCTTATCCCAACAGGGTTGCTGTGCCTGTCTTTTGCGACCACTGAGAAATGACCACCCTGGACAGACAAGCGATCACAGGACAACACAAAGACCTAACATTATTTTTATATACTTTTGACCTGGAAAGTCCCCTCGATGCATAGTGAGAACATGAACTGTGTAGAAAGACCGCAGGTCAGAATTAAACCCAAGTCCTTCTTGCTGTGAGACAACAGAGCTAACAACTCCACCACTTTACAGCCCAGATTAGAAAAGAAATCTACAAATTGTTTAAAATTGTGCAAACAGTCTTTGCCAAAAATAACAGTTGTGTGATCGTAACAGCCCCCCAAAAAACTTGAGTCAAATCATAAAATGTCTTATATTAATGTGGCATTTGTACCCACAATGAATGCCTGTAAATTTATGAGCAAAACTGCAGAAACTGTGAAGTTTCTAGAATTTTATATTCAACCTTTTAACGTATTGCCTCAGCGTCAATAACTTAATAAGTGAAATTAAATGTAGAAATTCAAAAGATTTCTGATGGTTATGGACATTTTAATTACCATTACTTCAGTGTGACTTCAATTTAAGGTAATATTGTTAATAGTGACTTCAGTTAGATTTTATTAGTACACTTGGGAAATGTTTTGTCATAGAACTGTATCTGTTCACAGACAATGTTCACCACAGAAGACAATAGAAAACACATTCAAGAAAGTCCAAACTCCCTCAGTTCTTTATAAATTCTCTGTTTTGGGGCATATGTAAGATAAAACAACATCTATCATGTTCTTAATTATAGGAGGTTGTGGGTGGAGGCTGTGCGGCAGGTGGTGGGCTACAGACATCTCCCAGGCGTCCACTAGTTTGACTCTTACTCTTTTGAATATTGCCCTGAGGACCTCATCACGTTGTAGCGAAAACCAGTCGCTGTTGGTCAATGTCTCGTATAGTGTCAACGCTTTGGGGTTCGCGGTCCTGATGATGACAAGAGTATCTGGAGACCTGCTCAACAGCCGCACCACCGCTTTCCGAATGTTCAGCAGACGTCGGATGTAGACCTCAATGGGGAAAGTGCTGAAGTGGGACCAGATGCCAATAACTACAACTGTATTGGCTCCCCCAACTACACGGTCCAGTTCATTGGCAATATAATGTAGATGACTGACAGGAATGACGCGAAAACGGATAGGAGGGCCATGGCTGCGGAACGTCAATAAAATGTTGTTTGCATAATCCAAAGCCAGGAACGGTCCGGTTTGGTTGGAACTGTGCAGGTCAAACTCCTTGAGATCTAAGGCAAAGAGAACAGAAGAGGCATCAAAGTGAACCAGTTTAAACCCTTATGTCAGACATTTGTAATGGACACATACCTGGTAGTGATTGGTTTAAATATTCAAACCACTGCCTAATGGTGGAGTCTCCATACAGGTGGACTGCTTTGTTTTTCAGACACTGGCTGATTGCTGTGATGGTGTTAAACTGGTGAACTGTGGTGCCATCTAGTGACCGCCAAGCACCTTGGTAGTAATAACCAGAGGGGCTAGACTGCATAGTTTTCTTTGTTACACCAGGAAAGACCCAAGGGAAGTTGAAATCTATATAAATAGAAATCAAAAAATAATAAAAAGAATAATTATAAACATAATTTAAAAAAACCCTACCTGATGTCAAACTGTCAGAAGACTGGATGTTTGCAAGCATTACTTTTTATAACCTTACCTGATCTGTAAAAGTAATCAAATTGACTCAGAACTGGAAGAAGAAGAAAGAATTAGAAGTAGGTAGATTGATTAGCTTTTGGCTGCAGATTAATACTCATTATAGACAATCTGCAGACAGTCGAGTTCACCTACATTTTTTTCCTCATGGCCCATGGCTGTCATGTATTCAGCAGTACTGACATTACAAAGGCAGCGGTAAAAATGTTATACCTTGGATGTGTGCAGGTCCTGAAGCTGGAATGGAGACCTTCAAGTTGACACCACTAACACAAAGATGAAAAACACACGTCACACATTCAGCGAAACAGACAAAAACTATTTGTTTAACTTTAGAAAAGTCAAACAAATGTTTGCTAAAGGTTTTTTTGTATGAGTCAGACCGAACTACATGGCAGTTGCCCAAATTGGGAAAACTGTCATGGGACATTAAAACTATTAGGTTTCATTTGTGTTTGATCACTTCCTGTTATTTATGCTTGTGTTAGACATATTATTATTAATAAATCTTACTGTGTGTAGATTCATTAATGATATTTTAAAGGTCTTCTTTTAAAGGGTATCTGTTTATTCTTTTGTTTCCAGTTTTACTCATTTATTCTTGCTTTCTGTTTCTTGTAGTTTTGAATATAAAGCTTATTTGTCAGGTGTTTTGCTTTGGTGCCAAATCCTCTGACTCCCTGTTCGTTCCCTACTGTGTTTATTCATCATCCATCATTCGTCTCTGCCTTCATTCACAGCTGCATCCTGTTTCCAATCAGCCATCTGTCTCAGTAACCAAACTCCTCTGTACACACGTCACTTTTAGGCGCGTCCAGGAAAAAAAAGCAAACAAAAAAAAAAAAAAACGCTTTTTTTTTTTAAATCAAAGAACAAGTTCGAAATTGCAGTGTCTTCATTAAGCAAATTTATCTTCGAAATGTCAGTTATAATGGAAATGCATCTATTGTCTGTAAAATCATGTGTTATGATAACGTCAATTTGTGAGCTCATTGCATTTCTCTTAATAAAGCTCGTTTTCAGTTCTGTCTCTGGTATGTTGAGTCATGAAGAGCATGACTCAACATACATGAAATAGCATGAAAATAATAACAATAAAATAAAAAAAATAAACTACATTTCTACGTTTTGTAATTTATGTTTGTGTGTGCATGTCTGGAGGGGTATATATCTAAATGTAACAATTTTCTTACCTTTGAAAGAGCTTTTCCTCCATTGGCCTGAGATAAACTCTGAGTCCTCCTTTAGCGTGGGTGATCCTGGCATCACAGCTCAAATTCTTTGGCTTGTAGCAGAACCAGGGCTCGCCTGTGCTGGGATCAGTGTAGTTGCACAGCCTCCGACTTGAATTGAGGCATATGTTGCAGTTTGTGATTTTATACACTGAACCCAAACGGAAAAAACTGCGGAAATAGATTCTGTCAGGTTGCTCTCGGGTCAGTTTTTCCAGCACGGTGATTCCCTCACTGGGGTGGACCAAAGTCACCTTGTAGAAATGAGAAGAAGAAACATTACCGAAAGCTTTAAGGATTATTTATTAGAAAAACAAAACAGTTTGATTCAATTCCAAAATACTTAAAAATGTCCAGACATTAAAGTACAGTTCAACACAATTTCATACAGAGAATGCAGCAAGTTTTGAATGTGATTTTTCAAATTTGGCATAAAAAATTATAGCTTGTAGAGTGTTTTAAAACCCTGCCTAGCACAAATACTATCTACTTTAATAGCTGCTTTGAAGGATTAAAAGACTTGAAAGCATTGAAAGGAAAGGATGAAAGCACATGTCCTAGTTTGTTAAGTTATTCCTGTTTTAATAGTAGCACAACATAAGTTTTTTGTTGAAAAATCTGCTGTGTCCAAAAAAACTAGATTTGAACCATTTTTAAGCTCTATATTATATCCTCCTGACTACCAGGAAAAAAAAATATTGTCCAATCACCATTTTTTTAAAATCCCACAGTCTTTTAAGTGTTGAAGAAGATTTTAAGTTATAGCATATTTTTTGGGAAATATCTGGCTCAATCTTCTTACGGATCCTAGGCTCTCCCGGCGGGCCGCGTGTAGCCACACAGAAAACGAGTGCAGACGTCACAGAATAACAGAGTTTAATCCAATAGAAGACAACTTATGCAAATTACAACAGAAACTGCAGAACAACAGAGACATACATTCATTTACCTGAGACAAATGGAAAAGAAGAAGGAAGAAAGAAAAGCAAAGACGTGCAAAGACGTCTTTGGAGAATTGCAAGAGCAAATCTGATTTGTTACTCCTGTGTAGAAAGTTTTATAGTAAAGGTGTATTCTTGTCTTTAATTTATTCAAATAAGGCGTACCTTTGCTCATCCAACCAGAAGCTATCTCTGACCCTTCTTAAACTTCCTGCAAGTCACGGTCTAAGGCATCTGTCCCCTTTTGTTTAAATGAAGTGAGAGCAGAGACTCTCCTGAACTCCTGTTGTTTTACGGCTTTTCACAGATGAGTGTGAAAAGCTGGAACTTCTCCTGATTGTTTCCCACACAGATAAAGGGCAGTTCAAAAGATCTAGCAAACCATCTGCTGTAACTACAAGTAACATAAAGGTCAATAGGCCAGAATAAGTTACTTATTTCAAAACTATAATTAGGCTATTTTGATCAAGACATGTTAAGTTTGAAAACTAGCATATTTTAAATTCATTTTCTTAACATAAGGTAATTAGAATACTTATGCACTTACTTTGTCTCTTCCCATAAAATGTGTTATTAGTGATGAACACCATTTTTATGAATTAGAAAAAGGTATGTACAAAAGTCCCACCCTTTCACATGTGGTATCATTGAAAAGCTCTAAATGTCCTCTCTAGATACCAAAAGGAATTAATTCAGTAGAATGCAGTGGGTGGGAGATATTCAAGTTTAGAAATATCCTCTACAGAGGACAAAAATGAACTACTGGTAGTCAGGAGGATAAACTATGCTATTTAGTTTTTCCTCCAATTATCAGTAGTAATTTAGGAGATAATGCTATACTTCCATATTAAAAAAATAAAACATGTGTGCATCTAAGCGTGAGGAAATTAATTAGATTTTTTGTAACATTAACTTCAATCAAGTCTTTGAAGCTTCTGGGTCTCCCTTTGTGAAAAGTCTACCTTTTTTTGGGGGGAGGAGGGAGCGGGGAAGATGAAGGGAGTGCAATTTACTTAGATGGTTTGGACTTGTTTAGAGAAGAGTCAGTGATTATATGGGTAGACGGATGCTGACGTTGGAGCCACAGGGCAGGAAGACCAATGGGACATTTATAGATGTAGCAATAGAGGACATGAAGTTAGTTGGTGTGAGACGGGACTACATGTAGACAGATGAATCGTATTTCCCTGTATGGAAACCGTGAAAGAGAAGTCTTCCTACATTATTGAAATACATTTGTGTCAAACGACGGTTTACCATACAACTAGTCTCACCTCAACGTGTGCGCTTCCTTCCCATAGTAAAGAGAACACAGCAGTGTAGGAACCATTGCGATGATCGAAAACTCGCCCTGCCACACCTGCGTTAAGAGTAGGGTTGTGCAGCCGAGCAAGCAGGAAGTCTCCGCCGGATGTTTTGGGCCGACCATAGAAGTCGGACACTTTTATCAAAACCTCCAGCTGGTCCCCTATAGACCAACTTCCCCGTTCGTGTGGGAGAATGGTGAAGGTACTCTGAGCGGGATCACTGGTGTCATTCAAGAGGAGGTGAGGGGGCAAAGAAAGGGTTTCGGGCCAGGCGATTGAGTGTTTCAGGAAATTTGCCACTTGAGCCTCCTTTGGTGATAGTGAATGGAAGGAGCAGCTGGTTTTAGCAATACTGGTGGTGGATTTTACCTGAAAAATAAAACAGTAATACAAATTAGCTGGCATATCCACACAGATTTAAAGTGCATCAGTTATTTGTTTTAAGGTATGGAGATTTCTGTTGCTAGGTTAGTCTTAGAGAAGTTGCAGCATCTGTATCCATGCCTTAAATCACCATGTGCAATTCAAAGCTTTGTTAGAAGAGATACAAGGAGTAGTTTTCAAGCTGAATACAGCTTCATAGTATGTACACCTAAATCTCTACAAGTCAAATCCATCATAAGACTCACACACTCACCTTGGTTACCTCACGTGTTCTTAAATAATTGTCTCCATACAGCAGCAGAATTATGACATTCAAAGTCAAGAGGAGGTAGATAACTCTGAACTTCAGGCAGCAAATGGCTCTCCGTGCTTGTGGTCTCATCATCACTGATGTCTTTGTTTGATCCCAGGTTAAAATGTAAAAGCTGAAAAAAAGCAAATGTGTTATTTGGAATCATTTTCACGTTTTTTTTTTCATTTTATTCTGTTTCATAATTTAAAAAAAATATGTTTTGTTGTTTTATGTTGAAAACAAGTCAAATGTAGATTTCTCCAAATAATCTTCCTCAGCACATTTTCTTTAGCTGCTATTGTTATCACATTACTTTTTGTATCATTTCACATTTTGGGTAAAAATCTTAAATTTTATATAATACAGACTTCAATCACAACATTTTGTGATTTTTCTTATTTTCCTTAGATGTGCTGAGTTTGACCTCTAGACAATTAGTGTCCAGACAATTTAAGTTATTTATGAAATTAGTCTGAGATCAGCATCAAAAATGTGAGTCCTTTATTATTTACGAAGACCAGCAGGGGGCACTGTAGATGCTTTAAAAAGAATGTCTTTGCATCTGACGTTTTCCAATCTGGAGGGTTGCAATTGGTAAGTGATGAAAAATCTTGCATCACTGTAAGTTATGATTTCACAAAGTTCCTCACTGACGGTTCACTGTTTTTCCTCCAGCATGTAGAGCTCAGTTATTACCTGGGCTATTCTTTTCCAAACCCCAACCTGTTTTGTGGCAGGTTAGGTTTGTGTATTGATACAAACAACAGTACATCTCATCCGCAAAAGCTTTACATCAAAAAACATGTTTTTTTCCATTAAGCTAATTCATTTCGTAGTTTCAATTTGCACATTTTTTTGGTCAGCTATGGATGGGCCCCGCAAGGAGGTTACAAAAGACCTCATCAGGAATCACTACCTTGGTTAGGGGAATGATGTTGCTAAAGTTTTTTTTTTTTTTTTTTTAAACATTGCATTCAAATAAGAGAAATCAAGTTTTTACCTGAAGGTGGTGAGGTTGTGTCAGGAAGAGGTCACAACTCTTTTCTGGACAGGAACAAAACCCCAAAGACGTATCTAAAGAGACCAAAGATTTAGTTTCAGGAGCAGCAGTCTTTGAGTAGGGACTAGATACTTTTTTCTGCTATCAGTGCATGTCATCATGTTTGCACGTGTTTCATGTGCTTCTTCCTTCTGTGCTGGTCTGCCTGCATTCCTTTATAAAGCCTTTCAGTTATCTGTCAGGAGGACATCTTTGTTCGTTGACTTGTCTCTGATTGGTGAAGCGAGACTCAAGAATTCCAGCCTGTTCCATCTTAAATTGGCTGAATAGTAAAAATAATCACAAGTTTAACTTGCATTCTGACATCATTAATCTGTTCTTGGGACAGATGGGGTCAGTGACGCTTTACACTACTCTCATTTGCAGATGCATAGCAGTAAATTAATATACATGTATATTTTTTTGTCTTCAGTTTTTCAATCCAAAACGTGAAAAGAAAACCTCTGCTTGATATTTTTCCTTTGTGCTAACAAAGCTCCTTGTGTTGGGAAGCCTGTTTATGTGCTAAGTGGTGCCACATTTGTCCGAAACATGCATTTGCAGGTGAAGAAGCAGAGTTGAGGATTTAGGTTGTGGCCATGAGAAGCTTCCCAGATCTTCTCTATCAAACAGTGCGTAAAGTAAACACAGGAAAATATTCAGTTTCAGTTTTTCTAACCCTGGACTTGACAACTCTCTCTGCTTAGCATTGCTGTGTTCTTCATGCCTCCTCTCAGCTACAGGAGGCATGAACAACCAGAGGCAAACATTACCGTTATCAGTTATCAGATTCTAGATCTCTCTGCAATATTAGTTCCAGTTAAAACAAGCATCTCTGCATTTTTTTATGTACCTTTGATTTTCCTTAACCTCGTTTTGACAAGATGAGGTGAGGAGTTTGAGTGCAAAGGGGGCGTGGCCAGAGACAGACTTGCTGGGTTGGGCTTGGAACCTGTTTATAACTGCTTGCAACTTTTCTATTTGTATTTATGAAATAAGAAATGAACAGTAAATTGTTGTTCTCAAAGGACCTTTTGTATTTACACATTCTTATTTAAATTCTCCACACTTAGTCCGATCGTGGACAGTGCTGAAGAAAATAACTCCAATTAGAAATTAGAAAATTTTTCTCAAAAACGAGGGACCATTTGAAGAGTGTCTGCAATACATTACATAAAACGTGGCATTCTTTAAGCGTTTATGTTAATTCTGATGAATATTGCTATTAGCTATTGAAACCCCCCCCAAAAAAACTGTTCAATGGAAAAAGAACAGCATGAGGTAGATAATCCGTGTAAAAAATCTCCGTATATTCTGCTGTCATGTCAATAAATACACAGCACCATCAACAACAACCAATCAGAACCAGGAGGAGGGTCTTAGTGCTGTCAATCACTCTCCTGCACGTGCTGCTCACAAACTCCCCCTTTCTCATTACTACACAGTTGGTTCACCACAACAGAGCCAGTCATGAATGCTAACGCTAGTTAGCATAGCCACAGATGATGGCAGATTAACAGCTGTCCTGTGGAGGTAAATTGTTTTTCCAACATTAGCGCATTTATCAGAGCATACATGGGCATGACTGACAGCGCTAAGACCCGCCTCCTGGTTTTGATTGGTTGTTTTTGACCATTATTTAGACTGCACTGAGATGGAGGAGGCAGAGGAACTGGATCCCCCCCGACAGATTATTTTATCTCATACTGTCGCAACATGATGAACATTTTAACAAATATATTAACAGAAAAACAACAAAAACATCTTTTTTGGCGAAAAACATTTAAAGCTTAAGGTCCTTAAACCTGTAATTCTATGAACTTATTCTAACTGAATGACATAACTGAATATCTAGAATAATCTTTTCTTGTAGTTGTTCATCACTACTGAATCAAAAAAACAGGAGAAGATAGTTTGAGATCCTTACAACATTATACGTGCAGCCTGAAATGATTGAACAGCCAAACACAGCACAGCCAACACCCTGACATGAGGCTGGACCATGCAGTGCCTCTAAATGTGGAGCATTATGTAGGATGGCTGCAGCTGTTGACTTATTATCCAGCAGATCTGGGTTATTTCCCCTGAGCTGAAGGTTCTTCCTCAAAGTGAAGAGTTTTCCCCAGCAGTGTTCTGTCAGAGCTCAAGGCCAGAGATTATACTCTGCTTTCATGGGGGATCTGTCTTCGCTTGTTTAGTTTGACTTTCCTCCAAACACATCTTCTTTATAGCTATTTAAGTTTAGCCAAAGTGTTTATAATATGTTGAAATGATCACTTTGTATAGCCTTTACAAAATTAGCCTCAAAAACTCCTCATCTATTTATGGATGTTTTTGTTTTACCTTTCAGTAACTTTAGAGGTGCCCAAAGTGGGACCTGTGGGTGACTAAAACACTGTGGGATGATTTTGTGTCTCCTGTGACTGGTCCAGTCAGTCTGCAAACTTTGTCATTAAAGGAATTACGCAGAAAATAATGTAGAAAATTTAGAATCTTGCTGATTTATGAATTTAAAACTCAAAGACAAGAACCCTCAAAGTGAGTGAGCGACTTTGATTTACCCAAAAAATTGGCTTCCCTTTATAATTTAATCATTATCAAAACCAAAATCTTTTTTTTTTTGTTCAGAAAATAGAGAAATGGTGACTTACGAACTTCTGTGTTGCTTAAGAGTTTCAAATGTGATTTCCAACAAACTGGAAACAAATCCCAGTGTGTTCACTGCGACATTACCAAAACTGCGTAAAGCAGCCACGCCTGCGGTCACGCGCAAAGACCAGCATTATCATCCACCGCGTGGAAAGAGCGCGAGCTCAGATGGAAGCGAGGGAGTTGAGCTGAACGCGTGTCCTGTGCGCGTCGCAGTGAGGAGGGGTTCGAAGCGAAAGGCGGTGCGGGAGCGTCGCCTCGCCCGGTGAAGCCGCGCGTAATGTTGTGCGGGCTACGCGGAGGAGGATGCTGCATGAAGCGGCGGCCGACATGCGGCTGGTCCAGCAGATCGGCGCGAGCATGAAGATCCAGGGCGGCGGCGGCGGCGAGCACGTCGGTTGCAGCAAGGTCGGAGACGGCCAGGAGGGGCAGGTCTTGTGCTTGCAATGCCAGGATGAGGTGGTGAGGGTCTGCCCGGGCAGCCCGCGCAGTCCCCGCCGCGCCTTCGCCACGCGCCTCTCCTCCGGGTCCGCAGGTAAAAGAAAAAAAGAAAAAAGGTATCCTGTGCAGCATCCAGACTTTGATGTGATGTTTTACGACTATTACCTTCACTGGAAATCGAAAGTATGGGTTCAAAAGTAGTGGGACACTTTAGTCCAACTCAGGTTTATACGCAGCTACTACATATGCACTAATGTCCAGAAAAAAAAAAAACAATTATTTCTAGAGTTTGTGTGTTCTCACTGAGCATTTTGCTGTGATGTTGTTCATTCATTATATGATGAATTATGGATGATGGTTTCCAGAGTCCACCTGCTGACTTCCAATAGCTTTGGAAATAAATTACTTCTGCAGGTCTATCTGTAAAAGTGGAGTCCAATTGCTTCAGCTGGGGAAAAAAAAAGAGCCAGTCAGTGATAAAGTCTCAGTGCTGCTGTTCTGTTTGGATGCAGCTGTTGGTGTAAGATTAGAGAATTGGAACAGGAAGTGATTTTGAAAGGAACTTTGTTTATCATTGTAATAAGCAGTAACATCTGTGAATTACTCTGTCCCAAGCAGAAATGTAATGTCTGAAATATTCTGGGGTTTTTAAAGAACAAAATAAGTTGATTTATTTTTCTGGATTATTCCAGGAAACCCATATTGACCAATCTGGCTATGGGTAGATGTAACGTCATTATTTTGGATTACTGGTTGAGTGACATTTAGAGTATTTTTGGGCTGTCACAAAGCCATTGGCCATTGTAGAAAGAAGGTGTACGTACATTTTCTCCAAAAACTCAGAAATTTTTTTGATTGATTTAAGAAATTTACTAGAGATTTTCTAAAAAGGTCAAAAATGTTTGATTTCTGCAAATTTTCTGAGTTAAACTAAATTCCATTTTTGTCTAGAAAATTTCTGCTAAGTTTTTTTCTAGAAAGTTTCCTAAATTAATCTTAAAATTTTCAAGCTTTTTTCACACAAATTTTTGACTTTTGAAACTTTGAACTTTCCATGTTTTTCTTAAAAAATTAATGAGATTAATCAAAATCTATGATTGCACTAACACACTGTTGTAAAACAAGGAATCCCTATGAATGATGGAAAACCTTAAAAAAGCAGCATTAAATGACGTGTTTCAAAAACACGTCATTTTGTTTTGATGTTTTGTATTTAACAAAGTTTGGCACAGTTTAGGCAATTACTAATCTCTGTAAACTTATTAGTCTTACTTGAGATTCCCACATACTTTCTTCAATTTCCAGAATGAATTCAGCCTCGTCTTTTTAAGGGACCAACTTATTGACATGAACGTAGTGAAGATGAATCAGATGGTAGAAATGAAGATGAGGAACTTCAAGAACTCTTGTCAGGACAAACTGAGACTGATAAAGATCGACGCATGAATCAGGAAGAGAATCAGGGCAGTGAAGGTGAAGGAAAATATCTCTGCTATGGAATATAAATCATCTGTCTGATTTCTACCCTCCTATTTTTGACCTTATCTTTGTTTAAGACGTCTGTCCTTGCAGCGTAAACCCAACATCTGGGTTAAGAGGAATAATCCAGCAGGTTTGCAAGTTGGTTTTTCTTGTGCTGCGACAGATTAATGATCACTGCAGTCTCCCCTGATAGCTGGTGTTCCACATTAGGGCTGTAGTTTTTAGTGTGGAGGTCATTTTGTTTGTTGACCATAGGATAAATGAATAATGGAATTGTTCTGTTTATTCTTGTAAGTCCACAATGAAAAATTAATCATGTTAAATATTATCCATTAAAATGATTGACATTGCGATTAGGCGTGTACAGGAATTTAAAACTCCTAAGATGATCCACAATATTGAGTTCAGAGTGAGACGAGGTGGAATTTTAATTTTACTTTTAAAGAAAACTTCAAAGATTAAA